CTGGGGAGGGCGAAAACAGCCTCCCCTGGAGGCCCTCCAGAGGCTTCAGGGACCTTTAGAGTTCCTGAAGCCTCCGGAAGGCTTAAACCGACCTATAAGCAAACTGGAAGTGACTTCCGGTTTGTTCATTGGGTCCTTTTTAGTCCTCTAGAGGCTTCAGGAAAGTCTCCCGAAGGTCCCTTAAACCGACCCTACAAGCAAACTGGAAGTCCAGTCCCAAATTTCCTGTTTGCCCTTAAGGCCGTTTTCACCCTCCCTAGGCTCCTATAAAGCCTCTGGAGCCTGGATAGGGCGAAAAATTGCTTTAAAAAAGGCTGAACTCAGCTGGCCAGTGCACGCATGCGCACTGGCCAGCTGACAGGGCAACACCTCGCGTGCCATAGGTTCGCCATCCCGGCTATAGATTATAATATGAAGATGGATAATAAAAAGACCTAAATATATAATCCTTTCTTCTATGTACAATCAATTCTATTTTCAAATAATTTCTCGTTATTTTAAGATTGTAATATATGTTTTAAGAGATACTGTGTACAGCATTTGATTTGGACACTATGTTTATTTGTATAAAGGGAATTTGTTTTATGTCTTTATATTAAGTTTGGAACCTTAGAAATATGCTCAGTTGAATTCATCATTTTAACTGATTTTATACACATAAGTACAATTTATAAAAACAAAACACAGAATTCTTTAAGAAAGGATTTAGTGCTAGGGCAGAAGTTGTAATTCATTATTACAAATGTAGGATTTATTATTAGGATCTGTAGAATCTGATAACAATATTTTCAATTAGCAAATATTGTAATTATTTGAAGAGAGATGTTATTTGGAGAGGAGAAGAGAGGAACAAAGTTTGAGACAAAGTATCTAATTCAGAAGTAGAATTTAAGTAAAACATTTTGTGTCATAACTTTTCAGGATTTCTTTGATGAAATAGAAGATTTAAAATATGCTCTACAAGAAGCCATAAAGCTGAATACCCACTATGAAAAGTGTCTAAAACAGTTAAGTTCCACTTATGGAATCACTCCTACATCAACGTTGACAGCTGGCAATCCTCGTACAACTTTATGGAAATAACATGCTCAATCAAGATTATTAAAGTATACTGAGTGTACACAGAAAAACAAACACTTAATAGAATAACTTAAATTTGTGCAATAAAATCATGACTGTTACCCATTTTTCATTTTGCATAATTTGTATATTTTTTATTTTATATTTAATAAATTTAGGACTGGCTTTAATGCAATGCTTAACTGTGGTTTAGCATTCAGTAAATGAATGTGAACGAGGTACTTCATCTCATCTGTTTTCTGTCTTCTGGAGGCATATATCTAAAGAGGAAAATAGAAGTAATTGATTCTAATTTTAAACTAATTGTAGCACTTCTTTATGTTTGAACTTGGGGACCTATGTTTAGCTCAAACTATGGCTTGTTCAATTTAAAGGTATTTCAAGGTTATTTTATAACTTAGATATGTGGAACTTTTTTTGAAAATGAATGTGTGTGATATATCCAGCCAGTATTTGTTAAAATAATAACTTTGGGCTATATTCTTAATCCATTTTTCCTTAGAGTTATTGAGAGAATAACATAAGGGAAAAATTATGTAACAGGTCTTGAACAGTGGTCCCCATACTTTATGGCTTGGCGACCCAGCGGGGAGAGAGAGGAGAACCAGCCCATGGGCTCGCATGTGTTTGTGTGCCAATCATCATTTGCACAAATGCGCTGGCCAACTGCTCATGGCCCAGTTCCAGTTGGGCCACAGCCTGGTAGTGGGCTACAGCCTGGGGGTTGGGGATCCCTGTTTTCAACTAATAAGATGATTTATCTGTAATCCTATGATATACTGGTTGCTAAATAATTTGCCTATAAAATAGCTTGTTTGTTTAGGTTTGGGCTCCATAGTGAGATGACTGTGACAACATCTAATGTTATCTAGGATTTGGGTTCAAAGAAAATAATGTCTGATAGTTTTTAACAGCATTTCTAATTTTTTTTTAATTGATAGTGTCCCTTATCACACTCTTAAGGCTTACATAAAATCTAAGAACCTTTTTAAAAATGTAAATGATATAGCTTTTATTCTTTGATACATACATTCTGTAGGTATATCCTCTTAAAAGTATATTTTTAAATATAAGAATTACTGACCTAAATTATTGAATATAGTTCTTCCATTTTTGTTGCAGACTATTTAGAGGAAATAGATTTCTTTCTTTTGGAGTTCAAATCCGAGCAAAGGAAACTGCATATGTCACTTTAGCAGATGACTGGGTTAAGTCCTATATAAGGGTGTGTAGGAGTCCTGCCCTTATTCAAGAAGCTGAGGCTCACCCACAGAATATAATTGATCACAAGAAAGAACAGGCAAACTGGTTCAAATATTTAGGAGTAGCTATGCTTGATCGAGGCTCACTGCAAATGTGCAGCTGCCACTGGACAAAAGATCTGCAAATTGAAGCTCTTCTTGCTTTTTATACACATTTAAAACAGTTTCCCCCTGTCAACTCAACAGTATCCTATGTATTATATTAAAAATGACAGTTTGGTGACAACTTTTGGAAGTCTGCTATGGACGGCACCTAAAACTTGAAGATTCTGCATGACCTGCTTTAATAAACAAGTCTTTGCTCAGAAAGCAAGCCTATCGATGTCTGGTTTTCTCCTACCCTTAATGGTCCACCACCTCGGGTACCTTAGGCTAATTTTAAACAGCACCGTTTCTGTGCTCGGTACTGCCTGATGTTGGAACGGTTCTTTGGACCAAGGCGACACTGCTGCGCCGATTGCATCCGAATGCCCCGATCGCCCAACTGCAAGCCCCGATCGCCATGGAAACGCCTAGCCGGTAGGAACCTGCAGAGCAGCCCCTTAGCCCGATGCAAATATGAAGAGCCAGCAAGAATTATTCATCCCAACACCCCGCGAGGCCAGCGCCATCCAGGTAGGGATGCCCGCTCAGATCCCGATCTTCTCAAGCGGGCGAGTGGGAGACTCGGAAAGTAGCTTCCATCGATTGCACCCCCGGCCGGTGTTGTATAACTTCCGCAAAACGGAAGACTTCTCCGTAGNCGCCGCCGCCCCAATATCAGGCATGCTTGTGCCTTTGGATAGCTGTGATTAGTAGGAAGGTAGCGTTAGTCTTTTCCTCCAGCAATCTCCCCACCCCACTCCAATGGTAAATTTTATAGCTATTTAAAATGTCTGCATTCTCTCTCTCCTTTTAAATTTGTACTCCTAGTAAAAATTATTCCCAATGCAAATCAGTCTAGAAAATGTTCTAAAATGACATTTTTCTTGCTGTTTCTTGCAATAGTAAGATAAAGGGAAATTTTGAGGGACCTATATCTCCCAAAATTTATAGATGTTCATATTAAATGGCTGCACAACTAATTCCATCAAAGTTTCTCAGGGGTAATGCTACTCCTGAATATATATTTTATTTAGGATACAGGAATATTTCTTAATGGGAAACCAGTAGTAAAAATGGTATATAAAAACAGATGTGTATAGTAAAAGGTTAGAGCTGGAAGGAGCTTCTTTTTTTACTGATAAATTTGAGAAACACTAATTAAACATAATTGCATACAGGCTATTATATTTAATTAGTGCTCAGAATTCCCATATAAAATAGACCTGCAGAGTTCATACTTTATGATGTGAATAGAGAATGAAAGTGGAATGAATTTAAAATTAACAAAGTTTAGATAAGGTGGCTAGCAGGTGATGTATTAATTGAAAAGTGGAAATAAAGTGAAAAAACTGGGAATTTTTGTTTTTAAACACAAGAAAAATTATTTCATTTTTTTAGCTCAATCAAGAAAATCAGCTGCTCCTTAAGAAGCTGAGGCATGTACGCCTAAAAAACAAGCAGCTGGAAAATGATGTAGTGCAGCTGCATGATAAACTACATGAGCAAAAGAAGTGCTTGCCTACCTGTGTCACAAGGAAAGAGTAAGAATGGCTATACTCTAAGCATGTGCCTCTTAAGAATCTAAAATTTCAGTTAGTCTAATATGTATAAAGATTTAGCTTCTCATCTGTTGGTTTGTTGATTAAAGCAATATTTGATTCAAGCTTACATAGAATCATTGATGAATGAGTTTAAATTGAGGGCCACGCCACACACCTTTAGACATTCTTTCCTAAAGTTTATTTTTTTAAAGAATTCACATAGAAATATAATGACTAAACATTAAGCTAAATATCTGTATACAATATATAATACAATATATACAATTACTCAACACAATATTTTAGCATAACATACTAACTTTTGATAGATTCAGTTGGCCTATAATTAATATTTGTACAGGTTGTAGCCCCAATTCTTGAAAGGTTTTGGCCTGTTGTAATTAGGACATAGTGTGGCATTTGCAAGACTGGGTTAGTACTTTTGTTATTTTAATGAAAGGCTCTTTCATTAAAGGATGAAAGGATTCTTGGATTTTGTGGAGTATAGGCAAATAGAACTGGGTTCTCTGCTTGACTTGGGGACTATCCTTTATGTCCAATAAATAGATTTTATTGGATTTGAGAATGTTTACTTTCAGAAAGATGAACTTGGATTTATAGAGTTAAATGGAAACCATATGTATGAGAACTGAAATTACAGTAGTTTGAGAAACTCTTAGAGGTTTCTTAATCAATCTATACAGTACTTAAATTGGAAAATATGGAGAATTTTAAACTAGCCTTCCTAAATGTTTTTCTTTACAACTCCGATCGCCTTAATGTGGAGTAGACATAGGCCTAAAATGCCCAGGCATAATGAGAATGTAGTCACAGGTTATCACATATTATCAAATTAGAGACTACTGTATACTTCCATTTATGATCACATAACTATCCATGTCTTTTTCCTCTGATTATGTGTTTTTATATAGATGTATTTATTTTATTTTCTTTATTATTTCTTTAAATAATTTTAATATTCTTTCTCAACATTATTGGATTTTTAGGAGGATTAGATAAAAACCCCATTACATTAGTAATATTTATTCAATCTGAAGAAAGAGCTTTTATTTAATTGGCTATTTATTTTAGTGTGCAGATTCAAACAGAATTTCAGTTATACCATAAAGGTGATGGGGTTCATCACAAGGAGCATGATGTAGTAAAGGAACATGCCAGGTGAGTTCTGGAGCCCTAGTCAAACATACATTTTAGCAAATAATTTGGGTTGTTGGTAAACAATACAACATTGTCTGTAAACAAAAGCCTTTAATGACACTACAGCCACTCCCTATACATTTATCCATAAATATATCAATCCATCTTTGAGTTATTTCCTGCTCAGTATTGAACCATTTGTTAGTCTACATTATATTATTTTATTTGACTATAAAAAATGTTCTGCTACTGGTAGTTCCCCCTTCTATAAACAAAAGTTATATCGGTGGTGTATGCTTTTAACTACATATTGCCAAATAGAAAGTTTCCAAAGAAGAGTCATCTACAGTTATAAAAATAAAGTTTTATAGTAAAACATTGCTGTATTACTGGTAAAATGATCACTTAAAAAAAAAATCCCTTGATATTTTATTGGTCCATTGCTGGACTAGTGGACTGCAGTAGATGCAGGGTTTTTTAATTTCTCCCAAAGAGACACCATTGGGCTCATATCCCCATTCCATTGTTTGTGCAATGAACATGAGAGGAAAAGAAACATGGATATGCAACAGTCCAATGGTCCCCAACCCAGTCTGGCTTGTTAGGAACTGGGCCACAAACCTGGAGTTGACGGGGGGGTGAGCAAGCAAAGCATTTGTATTTGCATCCCCACAATGGGGATCCTACACAGAATCTCCATTAATTGGAAGCAGCCAAAGTGTGTTGAATTGTCCAGTATTAGATTACTGATTTTGAAGGAAGATGATCTCAGTCATTCAGAGACTCCGCCATGTATAAGAAAGTGATTGGTGCTTGCAATTCTTGCATGACACGAGAGAGGTGCTGAAGCAGGGAACTTCTACCAGTTGGAGGCTGTGTTGAGCACAGTCGATACAGATCACCAGGCCATTGCTGTGGCTAAAACAGATAAATAGATTTCATTCTCTTTCAGCGAACATTTGTATAGATACTCATTTTTGGAAGACTAACAATTCTTCTTTTGCTTCCAGAGTGCTTCAGATGTATAATGAACTGAAGAAAAGGTACAATAAAGAAGTCAAAACAAATCAAAGACAAAATGAAACAGTTGCAATGCTGTCTGTAAGCTTTAATCATTTGATCACTTTGACGTAAACTAAAAATAATGAAATGTGTTTGGTATATATAAAATATTATTACTACTATATTTTTGTATGTTTCATAAGCATATTGCAAGACACATTTACTGGTCTGTTTTTCATTCAGTTGCAATTTCATTCTAATAAGAAATTGTCCCATGTACAATATCTCTGTCCACTTCTATTAAAGTTAAATGACAATGTCATGGAGTATCTGCATACAGACGATGTTTATGGCATTGCGTTCTTGAATTATAATTCTTTCATATACTGAAATTCTTTCATATACTGAAATTCTTTCATATACTGAAAGAACAGTCATAAACTTTCACTTTTTAAATTAAAATGATAATTATTTGTATTGAAATGATGTAGGATAATTTAATTTGGCCTTTTGTTTTTACGATACATGTCTTATTTTTAAGTCTGTGTGTGTGTCTGTCTCTGTAGCAAATAATGTCTGTCTGTCTGTCTGTCTGTCTCGCTTCTTGCCATGCTCTTGCTTTAATCTCGTATCCAGCCCATGAGTGAGGCAGCCTTATAATGCATCCAGTTGGCAAAAATATGTTAGTGGCATTTATCATTTCCAAGCTTTGTTTAAATAGGACAATGACTCTTTAAATCACATATTTATTTCTAACTTCTAATGCAGGTTTTTAAAAATGTAATTCTGAATTGATGCCCCAATTGCCCTTCCTTAGTATGTTTAAGAATGTGTTAATTTTCTTGTTCTTTAAAGTTGTTCAACTATTTAAACAGGGTAAAATTAATGATCTGGAACATCAACTTCATTTAGCAAACCAAAAGATAAATGCCTTGGAATATAAAAAAAAGGACAAATTTGTTCCAATTCAGAGAAGAATGTCATCTGACAAATGTATGTGCAAAAAGAAGGGAAGCTGTTCCTGCAAATATTTAGGTAATACTTTTTTTCTCATATGTCTGCTTCATTGGCTCTTGATCTTGTGTTACCTTTTGATATATTGTCATCTATGACTAAATGAAAATTAGAATTTTCTATGTTTATCCTGGGCATAATCCCAGAGTCCCAGAAACAGACTGATGCTTTCTCAGTTTAGATTGTTGGGGTTGGGTGAGCAGGAAGTGATTCAAGAACCTTCCCAATTATGTTCTCTGTTGCTAAGGGGGAGAGGGATTTATACCAGCTCACGGTGATAAGAGGGAAAAAACAAGCAAAGATTACATATATTTTATTTAAAAGAAAAAAAGGAAATGGAAATCTTTTAGTTTTGTTCATGAGTTGGTAGCTACAGCATGTGAGCCTTAGTCTGCATGCACATGTACTGTAGTCATATTTCACAAAACCTTCACCTCTACACATTGCACAGTGAGAGATGTAATATATATTCATAGAAAGTAAGGTGCAAGGCAGCAGGATCCACAGGATTTAAGGAGCCGCACCTGATTTCTTGATAGTCCATGTGTAGCTCCTCAGCCAAAGATATTATCTTAGTGTCTATAAATTGAAATCCAGTAACTTGAATACAAGATTGCTCTTGCATTGAAAATGCATGTAATTAACCCCCTCCCACTCCAAATAGACTTAGCAGTTAAAAACACTTAGTATTAAGATGCAAACATAGCTTAATGAAGTGGTACCATAATTATATTTTGTGTAGTCTCCTTTATTTAGAGCAGAGGTGGGGAACTATGGCCCTATTATGACTTGTGGACTTCAACTCCCAGAATTCCTGAGCCAGAAGCAAGTCATAAAAGCGCCATATTTCCCCATTCCTAATTTAGAAACTTAAATTTAGAATGATATGAATGCTTACTATTGTTAAGGAAAGTTGATGGTATGTACTGTTTATTTTCAGCCTAGGACCAGGAAATAGACCATTATTTCTCATAAAGTTTATTTCTGTCAGTGTAACCTATATTATAATGAGAGTAGATAGAGGAGATGTGTATCTCTAGAGAAGTATTATTCTTATCGCCTTATAGAAAGTGCTGTCAATAAATTAATCATATGCAATTCTGAATATATTTTTAAATTATAATCTGGTACATATCCTCTGAGCTAATTTGAGTATATTATAAGTGCTGTCGCTGAACGACATCATTTTTCCCCGTATTTTATCTGTACTACTTCTCTGGCCCCTGCATTATATAAACTGGTCTTTGCTGCTGTAGGGAATCCCTTGCCCTATACAGCCAAAATATTTTTCTTTGTTTGGACCAGAAACCCATAAAACAAGTAGAGGGACTAAGACAGGACTAGAACTCCCAGTGTCTTGGTTTATAGTGTGGTTGCTTAACCACACCATTAAACTTCANAATGCAGCTGAAATATTTTTTTTCTTAATTAACCAGTTTACTGAAGTATTCAGATAATTCATGTACTAATATACATACACACGCACACACACAAGAGAGAGAGAGAGAGAGGGAGAGGGAGAGGGAGAGAAAATTAGGAAACTGTGGACAAAGAAAAATGCAGATGAAGTTTGTGTAGGTTTGTGAGAAGGGAAAAAAACAAATTAATGAATAAATAGAATAGAATGAAAAATGAGAAAAAAGAGCAACTGTATAAAATTGAATTTGGCAGATTTGTGGTTCCTACAGTAGTAGTGATTAAATTCATGACCAAGTGTTTCTTCTAAAGTGAAACACTGCAGTTTTTCCCCAACAATCAGTGTAAAATTCAGTAGATGTCTTGGGTAGATTATTTTTATGGCATTGAAGCCAAATTTATATTCAGAACACTGTTAAGAAAGTGAACTGTGGGTTGGGGTAAATTGGACACATTATGAACAAATAGGGCTGATAAATAAAAATAAAATATGTAGAAATTTTTATTGAGTTGAAAAGATTTTTTATGATACTACGAATTACTCTAATATATTAGTATCTAAACATTCAACAGTCCTACGTGGGAAAAAATAACAATGCAAGATGCTGTATTTAAAGAAATTCATTGGTGCTCTTTATCTTCTTTGAGATTTATTTTTTCTGACTACAATTTAGGAAATAGTTTGTTTTAATTTTTAATATATAAAAATGAATTTCAATATGTTATGAAATTGCTTGCTTTATCTCAAGGCATTGTCTATTGATCCTTTATTCTTAGAAAATTCAGGAATAATAAAAACAAAAACCTAAAAATAATAATCAGTATTTATTTTTATTTTAAAAAGATTCTAGCATTTAAATTTTTAAACATTTTTTTTGTGCAGGCCTGGTCAGATGATGTAAGGCGCTATCAAAAAATATTTTGGCATCCAAAACACACAGAAGTATTTGGTATTGTTGGCAATCATGACATTGGCTTTCATTATGAGTAAGCATTGTTTTAAAATTGTGGGATATAGATTAAAATATTGGTTTATAGTCATGATGGTCCACTTTTTACAGACCAAATTGAAATTTTGCTCTAATTCAATCATAGTATGTTTTCTACATGCTAGGACCTATGGTGTTTATTACGGTATAATGAAGTGCTGTTTTTTATTATACACTCCTAGGATGACATCATTCAAGTTAGAACGTTTCTCTAAAGTTTTCAACTTTTCTTCAGAAAAAATAATAACTCGGAAAGGGATAAAGTGAGTATAACTTTTTAAAAATTTACTGGGATTTTTATTATTGTGCCTGATCTTTGTTCCTACGCATTTACAGCAAAACGTTAGTTTCATGATGGCATCACATTACATTTTATTTAAAAGTAAATTATAAACAGATTTTTAAGGTTAATTTTTGGCTATCCAGAAAATATTTTTTAATATATTTCTGCTGAAAGGATGAGAACTGTTGCTTGTGATCTGTTTCCCCATCTGGTATTAATTATATTAATCCATATGATATTATTACATTTATAAAATTTATTCCAATTCTGCTCTTAACATTTGGGTTTTAATTGAACTGCAGCCCTTTCTATAGAAACGTGTATTCATTTCCTGTTATTATAGATAAACAGTATCTTAAGATTTTGCATGGTTTAAACTCCATTTTTGTATCACTGTTAATGCCTAGTAACCAATGATACATTGATTGGGTTTTGCCTAGTTAACATGTAAGACAGAGAACTTATGAAACTTCAATGTTAAGATCAATATTTATGATTATAGGCATCCACTGTGAGGATTATTTTTCTTCCTTGATCATTCACTACCTTTGGCAGGTTCTGAACAAACCCAGGGAGAATTCTCTTATTTTTCACATGGCCTTGTCTGTTGTAACCCAAAGGTGCTATGTATAGTACAAAGAAGTATCTGATGGAAGGAATTTTCTTCTGCATCTTCCCAGGCCTCTTTGGAGGATGGGAATTCACTTGAGCGCATTAGAAATATATTTGGTGGGGAAGTCTTCTTATGCTGTGTGGGTTTACTTTCCATGTTTAGGATATGGGATTTTCTAATTTATTGGCAGTAACTTGCATATTTCCTTCTTATATTCTTAGCTTTCTTATAGTGAACAGTGTTGCTCTTGAAGGTGACAGATGTATAATTTGCAGAACAGCAGAAGCCAAACTCATTGAACTTTCTCACCAACTGAATTGCTCATTGAAGGTAGGCATATAACTATTTTTTGGGAAAACTTATCAAGGTAGAGGGTGAAATGAAATTGGTTTGGACAGGTTTACCCAGATCGGTAGTAAAAAATGCTACCGGTTTGAGTGAACAGGTAGTAAAAAAATGCTACCGGATCGGGAGAACCGGTATTTCTGTTGATCAGCTGTGACGCATGATTTATATTAGCTAGAATTGTTGGATTTCCTGCTTTCTAGCTAATCTAAATCACATGGCACAGCAGATTCCTCCTCTCGCTGTTCTACTTTGCTACTTTCGGTAGCAGGCTGTTTACCTGTCCAGATGTCATCACGTCCTGTTTTTGATGCTCTGCGCATGCGTGGAAAGTCCTGCACATGTGTGGAGGTGGGCATACGCTCACATTGGTGAACTGGTAACGAAGGCAAGTTAATTTCACCCCTGTATCAAGGTAAAGAACAACTCCTCCAGAATTATTTTAAACTAAGTCTTTCCCAAATTATTATTCAAGTGAACTCCCAAGCTTTCAGCAAAACTCAGTCTTTTCCTCTAAAAATAATGTGTTCTCTTCACTGAAATGAATGAGAAAGCCCTTATGAGTGAAGCTTTCTGTCCTTGGGCATTGGGAAAAACCAGAATGAAATTGTGGCTAAGAATAGAACAGCAGCACCATCAAATATTGTATTGTATTGTAATCATCTTCAGAAGTCCTTTTTGTGTCTTGAATTTAGTAGTTTATTATACTAGTTTATTTATGGATTTCTCAACCCTACAACACTTCCCAAAATAAGCCCTTGATATAGCAGGGCTTACCTACTCTTTAAATTAATTAAACTGATAGTTTGATATTTGTTAAAATTTATAAAGAACTGAAGGTAGTATACTTAGTGCTTCTTCCTCTGTAATGGGTTGAGAGTAACTTTGAGCAGAAAGAAAAGCAGTAACCGAGTCTACTGTGAGACCAAAGAAATAGAGACAGAATTGTAATTTAAGAAAGCATCTGAGGCTTGACTCCCCCATTCCCGTTCCCTTGAAGATAAAGGGAGTGGGAAAGCATATTCACGTTTGCATATTTTATTACCCTAACCTCATTAATAAAAGTAGTTTTAGCCTTCAAAAGTTTGGTTTCCTAGTCAACCCTTGAAGGGCTGACACCCTCAGTATTTATGACTGCTTTCTTTTTTGTGTGTATTGTGTGCATAGACATTGTTCTGAAACCTCCTGGGAGATTCTGCTAAAATATGTATATATCTTGCAGACATTTTCTGCCTGTCTGTATGTAACTCAAGTGGTATCTAAAACTGACTCACCCTTCTTTGAACATGAGAGGGGTATCTTCTTTTAGAACATCCAATTTTATATATCTGTATCATCCCCTCAATTCTAATGAAATGCTAAAAGTTTTCCTTAAAAACCATGACTTTTTTTATTGGTTGCTCTGTGTACGGTACATATTAAATAATTTCTGGTTTTTGTTGGCAGGAACAAAATCAACGTAAAAAAAGCTGTAGTAATGTAGATAAGGTCCCAACCTCGGCTCCAATTCTATTGCAGGTAAGTTGACTCTGATAGAATGAGATCTCTGCACTTTATTTACCATGGATATATTGAAAAGCTTTATTTGGAACTATTTTGTACTTTTCATTCTTCTCAGCATTACCCTCTTTATAGAAGAAGTGACTCAGAATGTACAGGAGAAGATTCTGTTCCCCTGGAGAAAAAGAATGACCGCTTCAGAGAGAAATATGATGTGCTTTCTCAGGAAGCTTCCCAGAAGGTATTTTTGTTTTGCCAGAGGCTTTGCATTACTTAAGTGTTAACTGTTGAGTTGTGTTAACTGTTGAGTTGTGTTAACAAAGAAAAACTCTGAATTTTCCCTTTTTAGAAGTTGAACGGTGGAATTTCTTTCTTTTAGGAAATATTTGCAAATAATGTTTATAGCACACAGTGCTGTAAGTATAGTCACAAAGTAACCTATGCAAGAGGGGCTTTCCTTTGTCTTCAAGACATCTGGAGTTTGGGAGACATTCTTCCTCTTTTATGAAAAATGACGGCATATTGTTGTATTGTTAAAGAAAGATGCTGTACCGTATGTGGGAAGTTTTCTCTTTTACTGTATTTGCTTACAAAACATTCACCAGTTTTCAATGATACAAGTCTATTTAAAGAAGACCTAATTTGTGCAAAGCGTAGAGCTTACTTTGCAACTTTGTACTAAGAGTCAAAAATTTTCCCCTCTGTCTGAGTTGGATTTTAGGTGATGTACATGTTAGGAATTCTGCTTCAGCTTCCTGAAAAACTCCCTGAAACTCCATCTGTCTAGAGCAGTGGTCCCCAACCCCCGGTCCGCGGAGTACCTGGCACTGGGCCGCACAGCGGCCGGGGGCCATGATCGCTGCAGCGGCCGGGGGCCATGATCGCTGCAGCGCAAAGGCTCCTGGGCTGTGTGCAAAAGCTCCTGGGCCGTGCGCAAAGGCTCCAGGGAAGAGAGCCCCACGCAGGTACGCATGTGTGGCCCAAAGCTGACGTGTACCTGCGACCCTGCAGACGTCTCCCCAGTCTCCCTGCGGCTCTACAGAAAACGCCTCGCTCAGAAGACGCCCCCCCACCCCTGCGCGCGCTCAGTGGGCCACGGTAAAATTATCAAAGGCTGACTGGCCCGCAGCGATAAAAAGGTTGGGGACCACTGGTCTAGAGCATCACATTATTAACAAGCACTAATGAAGAATCTTGATAATGAAGAATCTATTGAGGGATATCCTAAGAAAAATATATATTGTATCTTTAAATGTAGGGCTTGTGTGTTTCACTGGCTACAAATAGACAAAGGGTAGGGAACAGGCTAAGTAGAATAATTCATGGTGGTTGAGTGTAAGTGAACAGTCAAGCTTGGGTATACTGTTCAACTGCTTCCTCATGTGTCATGAAAGCAGTGACTCAATAAAAAGTTTATAATATGGAAACTATTGTTCCTGGCTTCATTCTCCCAAACAACCTAAATAACTAAGATTAAACTATGCTTCTGGTTGTTAGGAATTTGCCAGAGCCTCCAATTTTGAATCCAAAAATTGTGCAAGAGATTTCTGCAATTCTGTCCCAGTCTTTGTGGCTAAAAGCTCTGCTGGGTGGGAAAGTTTGAAATCTGAGATACAACATATCTGAGGATTACCATAAAGCAAAAAAAACATTTTAGCTGCAAGCATATCATCCTTAGCATGCTTATTTGTTGATGATATGCCAGAGTGAACTCAACCATTATGTAATGGTTCCCCGAGCCCTATTAAGTCAAAGATTCCTGTGTAATGCTGAATCATTCTTCTCCCAAAGATGTGGTGGACAAGTGTTTTGGAATCAGCTATGTGTCAAAACTGAGTTACTTCTGGTATTACTGAGGTGATCTGATAGCACTTTATGGATGGATGGATAACAACTCTAATAAATCACTGATTAAAGTAATTTACTGATTAAACTGATTAAAATGACTGAGGGGAAACTGAAAGCAAGATGTGCTGTGTGGTGAAGTTATTTCCTAAAGTAGAAATGGTAACAGTGCTGTTTTATTCCACTTTATAGCTATTGTGGTGGTTTCATCCTCGATTGATTCTGAGTGGCCATACCCATAGTGCCTGTGAAGTGCTTCATAATGGTAACATTCAGGAAATCAGTGTTCCATCATTCAGTTGGAGGAACAGAAACAATCCTAGTTTCATAATGGTAAATTTAAATAATGTTTATTTTATCAGATATTTTTTCATAATATAAATCAACATAGCAATCAGCTATTTTCTCAGACTGATGCTACCTGTAAAAAAAAAAGCAAAACAGAACAGCTCCTTCCATCCTCTCCAAAAGTACACTTAAGTTGAATACAAAGCACCCGCTTTATAAAGCACATACACATGGAGAGCCGTCTAGCTTGTAGAGTGCAAAGTAAGGTTTATGGTACAATTCTAAATGCAAGCATATTTAGTACGTTTCTATAAAGAGGATGCAGTGTAAACAATCTGACTACAACAATCGTCAGTAGTCTGCAACAAACAGTATCGAGACTTGCTTTTGCTTGACTGATTTATTCACAAGACCACCTTTCCCCTCTGGGATTCTTTGTTTTTCAAAAGTGCAAATTATATTATAGGGCAGCAAAATTCTGTTCAGAGGAACTTAATTCACAGTTTGCTTTGGGTATACTAGATTACAATTCTTAATAAACCCGGAGCACAAAAAAAATTCTTGGTTCTAAGCCTTGTTTTAAATGATGCTATCTTCAAAACCGGTTCTACGCTAACTTTCCTTTTTTTGGCTCCTTGAGCTTCAGGAAAGGCAAAGCAATTATAGCTCTACTGTAATTTTTAATTCATAGATGAAAATCTGTCTCATTTTAGGGAACATGATTTTAAATTGTTCTCCTTGAGAAGCATTCTTTCACCTATATTTTCTTTAAATTCATTATTTAACAATCTAGCAGGTCATGTTTGCAACATTCTTGACATGTGAATGCTTACCTATGGGACTAGATTATCCATAATTCCACTCCCATCCCAATTCTATAAGAAAAGAGCTACGTTGTATTTTATTTCATGCAATTTCAAATGCTTAGTTCCCCCAATTATATAGCAACCATTAGTATAATTAAGGGTTTTAAGCTGTTAACTATATAAGTCTTCCCTTGCCTAGTTCAAATAACAGCTGTTGTGTTCTGGAAGGTCCTTTTTCACATGGCACAAAATGTTCACACAGGGCAGTTCAGTGCTTAATTGCAAAACAACTATGATTAGAAGTTTCAGAGTTGTCTGCATCTCTTAAACCATGAACAATTGAAAGTACTGCTACTTTAAGAAGAAGTAAGCTTCCCTCTCCCTTAATAGAATCTTCAACATCTACAGCCATTTGCCTCAGACCTTCTAAACTCTTGCTTCCATTTTCCAGGGCAGCATAACATCAACAGAGGTCTCGCTCTACAAGTGCTTTCTTCCACATGAGAACACAGTAATAGCCATTTACTGTACAGCAGGATCTGTGCTGATGGTCCTCATTCTAGCTCACTTTCAGCCCCTTCTTTCCCCTTACCATTTTGTTCAGCGTTTAATCACTAAGTATAAAGCACTATGAAAAGTCAGACACTTGGAATCAGTCACTGACACACCAAAGCTAAAGAACAATCCATCAGACTACATTCATGCCAGCAAATGCGTACTTGAATTGCTAGCCCAAAGGCAAACTGCTCTTACAGACAGAAAGCTCTAGACAGTTGATAGGACTTTTTTTTTTCTTTACTACAGGATAAAGTAACTGCTTCATGCTGTACAAAAATATTGTAATCTACAATGAAACGAATGGTTTTCTTGCTAAAGTTTTTTTGTATCAAATATGTATATTAAAAGTTTGTAACTGTACACTAAGCTCTACAAGCCTCCTTTTGTGTCTGCACTAGTGCCCTATGCTGTTAGAGGCTCAGTCTTTGTAATAGAAAAAGAATTTTAAAGTGTTATTGCTGCGTGACCATCTGAAGTGGTACTTCATTTCCTTGATATCAGCAATACAAGATGTAGTTATTTTACAGCAAGGTATTACCAAAACAGAAGCAAAACATAATTATAATAACTGACATAATTTTCTACCCTCATGAGTCACTTTTAAATTAGATGTAAATAGTTTTAGATGGTAGTCATGTGACAGCATCAACAAAAAAACCCTTTGCTATTAAGTTTGCAGAGTATTGGCAAACCAGGTAGAAAACTGAGAAGAAGCCTCTTGCACATTCAGAATAAGGGTGTGCACTCTGCATCCATGGACACATGGACTGGAGCTTGGCTGAACATTTCCCCTGGAATAAGATGTAAACAACTACTGTTAGATTCACACAGAGTTTTTATGGTATGACTCAGTTTGTGTGATTGACTATTCCACCCCCCCAAGAGAAATAAACCTTACTGGAAAACTTTGCACACCATTCCTAAATGTTTAAGTCCTATCTGATTAATAGCATTAAAAAAGTGCTTAAGTATGCAACTTAAAAAGGCAGTATAAATTAAGCTGCAGAAATGTATAGACTTGGTTTTTTTTATCTACTTATATAAACTTTAAAGAGAATTTTATTCAGTAAAGAAGAGTTTAGGTTAGCCTTCCTCAGCATGTTGCCCACCTAAGAATTGAGACAACAGATCTCAAAATTTCCAGGCATGCTGGAAAGAGTTCTGGAAGTTGTAAACAAAATCTATTTGGAGGGCATTAGATTATAATTGTCTGAACGATTGAATATAATCTCTGACATTTGCAGCAAACAATTATAATAATCTACCCCATTCCTTTCAATAACAGAACCATCCTTTAAAAAAAAACAACAACAGGCAGTACTTTACATTTTCACTGCTTTGTCTTTAGAGGAAATATGAATCTTTAGACTGGTATGTCTTCATCATATCAAAATAAGTGTCTTTCAATCATCTTGGAAACATAACAAGGTTGTGACTGAATACAGTATGTCAAAGTACCAGTTTCAGAGTGGATCTAAAATGCTTCAAAATCAGAATATCTTGACAGATTACTAGCCCAATTCTTTTGCAGAGATACAATTGTTTCTCAGTTTCTAAAAGTGATCTGGGGTTATATATGCAATAAACATGCCTTCCTAATTTAAAAATAGTTTCACATTATGTCATCAAAATATTTTAAGAGTAATTTATCTTCATAGCAAAAGGCAAAGATAATCCAAGTGTTATAATCTATGAAGTTCTGAATTTGTTATTGCATCTACAAATTTTAAATATTGGTACAGATTTTCTCAGGCACTGGAAACTGTACTCTGACATAATGCCTATGTATAAAATATAAAACAATTTCATAGTTACCGAGAAAGGCATGCCTTATTGCTACACCAATTCTTGCTTTTATGCTAAACTGTACCACAACTTATTTTGTGAATGTCATTTGCATAAATTATTCAAGTTTGAAAAAACATTATGATTCTACAATATTTAAAATTAAACCATTTTCTAAGATCTGTTTATTAAAAGAAATAAATACGTCATTTTGTAATTCTCTTAGGCCAAACACAAGGATTATACCTTTTTTCTTTCTTGCAATTTGCACAATAAAAGCAGCTGTTGCAACAAAGATTGAAAAAAAACCCCTTATCTAATGGTGCCTTTACACATTCACAATCTGCAATTGTGAATGGTTTATGAATGACCAAAGAATTACTGAACATAGTTTTAAAGGTAAAACAAGATATTCCCATGAAACTTACACCAGGTTGCAATTTGGGCACTTAAATCAATTTTTAAAGCTGAGTATGATAGGCTATTGCTGCTACAGTAGCAGCAATTACTTACTTGGAAAGTTAATATGACTAAAATTTGCATAATTTATAATTTTTATACTAAAGAACATTTTATATAAATCAGAAAAAAATCCCTAAACTCTACAGAGTTTTTTTCAAACCTCCAGTCACTGCTGTAGGTAGAGTTGACATCAAGCTGTACAGCGCAATCAAAAACATACTTACATCTTAGCTCATTTTACAGGTACAGCCATAATCAAGGCACAAAGATCTTCTACAAGTATTTTCTTCAATAAAATTGTACAAAATAATATTACACTTTACAGTCTGTACAATATAATAAACCAGCAGTAAAACAAAAAAAATATATATTATATATTATATATATATATTATATATATATATTTATATTTTTATAGAAGACTGATGTCCAAAAATGATCTAAATTAATCGAATCATTTGTGGACAGAAGAAATATGGTATGTGAAGGTGAATTTTCTGCCTAAATGCAATAGGCTGAAAAAGTAGCTCTAAATTCAAAAGCCTGAGGTGTAAAGAGACTCTTAGCTCCAAACCTCCCAAAATTGCTTACCTACTCTATTCCTGGGCCAGCAATGGCTTAGAAGAGGAGGTCACTTCATCAGTTGACCTGCAACTCAGTTTGTTGAAAACTCAGTGTAATAAATATCATAGTGCTGCTACATCATGCATGAATACATCCTCAACAGTATTTTCTAATTCTGAAGCAAAGTGCATTATTCCCTTTCTTTCTGTATATCAAGTACTCTTCAGTGTCATGACACAAAAGGAACCCTCCAAAAACATTCTAGGTATGACACAGTGTCATCTAACTAGCAGATACCAGCTTGAACTAACAAGTCTGCTGAAAAAAAATTAGCAGACTATGTCCAATTAATTAAACATAAACAAAAATTTACAACCAAACCAAAAGAAACAGAGGTAGCCAAAGACTTCAGTGGAATGACAAAGAAGTGGCATATAAAAATAAAACACACATATTGTCCCTAAAGCATGGGCTGGCTAGAAAGTCTAATAAAAGTAAACGAACTGAGGAGGCAGATGGATCTAGTATCTCTTCCTCTACTTCATCTGAGGAAGCCAAGAAAGAAAGATGCTTAAAACCACGGACTCCATGGTGTCCTTAATTACAATAGTTCATACTGGCGAAGATGCATTCTCTGAATGATGTCTCTACAATCATTGAATACTCTCCGAATATTTTCTGTGTCAACTGCACACGTGAAATGTGGATAGCAATAATGCTTTCCATCTCCGGTTGCCGTACTTATTCGCTGTAAGAGATAATGAAAAAATTGCTGAGAACAAAGTTGGATAAAAGCACTTTTGGGAAATGACAACAAGATGCAGGAAGACTTGATCAGCATAGCACCATCTCAAGCTAACGTGTCAAAAATTATGCATTAAACACATTTATTCAAGGAATGCTTGGATGTTCCAAAGATAAAACCCCCAATTTGTCTAAAACTGAATAAGTAACCAGACACTAAACTGAATATATTAACTTTGCAACCTACTCACCAGGTAAGCTTAGCCTGATTTTCCACTAAAAAAGTGATATAGTACTATAGGCTTATTTCACTGCAGCTTATTACAACTCACAGCTAAAAAACACACGGAAAAATATATGAGCAGTTAATGTTTCATGTATGGCCATAATCAAGATGTTGAGGTAAGAAACGTGGGGTTTTATGGTAGCATGCTGCTTTTTTTTTTTGCATGCTTTGCATAGCTTATAAAGAGAGGTGATGATTTAAAAATGGGCTATAATGGTTTGTAATTCAATGATGACTGGTTTCAAGATAAGAGTTGCTTTTATAACAAAGCTTATAGAAAAATAATATAACGGTATTGAATATCGGTATTCAAATTTATAAAGTTAATACAGTGTTAAAAAAAATCACCAATACTTACTAAAAATTCATCCCGAATAAAAAACTTTGCTCTTGTAACTTTGGGATCTTCTCCTGCATCTGGTGTTGCTGTAATGAACATAGATTCATAGATTGAAAATATTCAAATATATGCAATATGAATTTTAAAAATATGTGCATGGTGTCTTTATTTTCATGCAAAACTGATACATATATCGGAAATCACAATATGGACAGAATATAATGAAGCATACTGGGTTCAGATTGGCAAAGAAGTGGGACAATACCCTCCACTTATTTATTCAACCTACTTGCTGCCATCTGTATTAAGGAAATCTGGATTCAAAATAGATGAGTGTGATTGTAATATTAGAAATGGAAAGATCAATAATCCGTGCTAGGGTGATGATACTACTCTGATATGCAAAACTGCAAAGGAGCAATTGGTATGTGAATTGAAACAAAAGTTGGGCTTTGAAGAAGCAAGTCAGAGTCTTGATACTTTTGAACTGTGATGTTGGATTACACTCCTGAGAATACTATGAACAAACAAATCATTGCTCATTGAATAAATAAGGCATAAATTATGGGAAGATGTAGCTCTCTGGAGAAGATTTTAATGCTAAGAAAATGGAAAGAAAGAGAAGAGAATGATCAGCAGCAAGGTGGATAGTCAATTATTGTACCACTGGAAGACTAGCTTAGGGACAGAATATCGTGCAGAAAAAAAAATCTATCTAAGAGCTCATATTGACTTGGCACAAAAGTAATCAATCTCATAAACATTCAAATTATTTAAGCATAAGAGACTTTAGTTAAGAAACTTACCATCTTCAGGTACAGTGTAACGTGTAAATTCGGGAAAATAATCTTCAATTTTAGACTTCCCTGCCAAGACTTTTTCAGCAAGCATGTCTTGTTTGTTCAAGAACAAAATGATAGAAATTGTTCGTAACCACCTGTGAAGACCCAAAGATTAATTCAGAGTCCAAATATCTGCTGACATTTATATTTTCTAAGAGAAAACAGCCATCTAAGGAGGAAAATCTTTTTTGGGCCAACTGGGAGTTACGGGATATACATTGAAATCAAATATCTATTAAATCTGAACTGATGTAACTGATGTTCTTTGAGGTAACATCATTGGCATAAAACAATATAAACTGATGATGCAATTGCTGAGTCAAACATTGAGTCAACTGTCCAACTGTTTTAGAATGGGAAGTCCATTAAGTCAAGGTTTTACTACATCTCATCAGTTCCTGTTTATAATGATGCTAAGAAAACCAGGAACTAATCTGAAGGTTGCAACAATTATTAAAATCTGAATAGAAATCTTGATTTGTTCTAACAGATTTTCACAAAAATCCTCCACCCATCCTTGATACGTTTTTATCAAACCAATGCAGCTGATTTATGCATGGGTATCTTGCCTATTGTTCCAGATGCTTTTGAAGAGGTCTAAGGATTCGCGCAATCTGTTTGTGTTGTTGTCTTCTCTTATGACCATATTGTAGCTGCTACAGGCCACAACGAAGATAATAGCTGTGACATCTAAGGAAGAACATACCATAGATAGAAAATAAAGAGTAAGACTTAATCAGAAACACTTATGCTTCCCATATATGATGATAAATGCAGTGTAAATTACTGGTATACATATAAACAAAATTATGAGATTTTATAAAGGATGAAACATTAAGCCCCGATAAATAAAAGTAATACATATTTACAATAAGAAATAAACAGCAAGCATTCAGACCAAATACAGAATGTGAAAATATTTCTTACCATTAAAGCACTGGATCCATTTTCTTCTTTCATCTCTCTGACCACCTACATCAAACATGCTGTTGAAATACAGAGACTATTATTCTTTGTGAATGTACAAAAAAACCCCACATTTTCCTAATGTGCACTTACTTTTGCAAATGGAAATGAAACTGCAATAAATACTGCATGAAAGCAAAATGGAACATTGTTTTGTAATATCTGTTGTCAAACTTTAGTTAAGTCTCATTTGTAAGTCTCAAACATAGTCCTAGCTACGTTTTTGGTCAAATTTAGGAAAGGTCAGACTAAATAGTAGGTGGCCATTTAGTATTGATTAGCTCAGCTGAAAATAGAGGGGAATAGTGTGGTCGAGTACAAATGTAACAGCAATTCTAAAGCTATATTCAAAGCTAAATAAAAACAATTGGGCAAACCAACTTAGAGAGAGGGGATTCCATTTGTAAGAAAGGATGGAGGAGTTTACAATTTCAGTAACAATTTCAGAAACTTTTGCAATATATTCAATCTTATTAGAATGATATGAGCAACTAGTTTAATATATAATAATATAATCCTTAGAGGTGACTAGCCTAGAGAATATTTTAGACAAAAATGAACAGGCAGCTTTGATATTATGAAAAGTATTAGGTAAGAAAAAGGTTATTACAGCCAAAAGAATAGACATATTAGTAATAATATTCTGTGTGCACTATATTATTTATGAAAGAGCTTTCTTATTTAGCAAAAATTTAAAGTTGTCCATTACATTAGCACTATCAATTAATGAATTCTTGTTCTTTTAACTCATTATATATGAATTAATAGAAACATTAGTTTCTATATTAATATTATGTACTATACTAATCTTCTATACTAAAACTTTAAGGTCCACAGACTAATACATCAAACAAAAATAAGCAAATATTAAATAATGTCCTATGTTAGAAACATCCTGGTCAGCACTGACTAATGAATATACCTTGATCTCTTACCCTGTATGTCATAAATGAGCAATTTATTTTAGAAAACCTTGTAAGTAAAAATGTTAATTATGTCTGCATTTGTTTCCACTGTTTTATAAAACATGACACAAATTAAAGGTTATTATTACTGTACTTACTGAAAATTTACTTTGTCTACTTGGAATCTTGTCTCAAAAATCCCAGAAGTCAAAACCCTGCATCTTAAGAGATCCTAGAAATGAAAAACAATTTTCCATTTTAATTAAGCAAATTTGGCCTGCAAAGCAACGTGATATATTAACAATTTCATATAATTAAAACAGTGAGCACAAGCTACTGTATGAATTCAAATCTGACAGTGTCAAAGATAATTCTGAACAATTATTTAAATATTAGACAGAATTATAATGTGACAGGCAGTAGCAGAATTATTTTACTTTTGTTCACGGAATGGGGTGATTTTCTTTTCACTCCAAAATTCCACTCCACAAACCTCTTAAACCTTTCCTCAGTTTCAGAAACAACTTGGCACACAATAAGGGAAGTGTTAAAGCCTTGTGGACTCACAAAGCTACTCTCAAAATTCTTTTTCTATTGGAATCATAAAGAGCAATTTTAACATGAACAGCATATATGACGTTAAACTATGGCTGGGATAAATGAATAAAAAGATTATTGAATTAAACATATTTCCCAATTTAAGCCTGCTTGAATTCATTTAATTTATTAAAGGTGACTCTCATACTAATTCACATTTGTTACTCCATTTTACTCACCTGATCTGTGGGCGTGTAATCAGGCAGACTGACACTGTCTATTCTTTCTAGGAAGCTGAAAGAAAACATACATTTTTAACCATAAAAACCCAACATCCTGCGCACACATGCACTCCCGTTTCGGCACTCGGTGCTGAAAAGATTCACCAACACTGCATTATACTAAGGAGTTTTTTTTTTACATTGAAAGATTATGTATCTATGTTGATGCAACCAATCAATATCTTCCACGGAGTCAATGTTTTCTTTTAAACACTGTTCAGGCAAAATTTTAGGAATAATTGACTCTCATAAGGTTTTGCTCATGCTTACTTTCTAATCTAGGGATTCTAGAAAAACATATAATTCTCACAAAAGACATAGGTCTACCAGGGAAATGGAACTGTGATAAATTTCTTAGAGGAGATGCAAGAACCAGTAGGATCTGTATCTGATTTACCAAAGTATGCAAAAACTATTACCATGGCAATAAGATGGTTAATAAGACTTAATGAATAGTAAGAGCATTGAGCAGGAAAGAGTGCTCTAGTATTTTTCCAAATTAACAGTTTAGCAGCACTTCACAAGCTGCTGGGAAGAAATTGCAGCATCCAGGTATTTGAAGAATAAATGAAAATCAATTAGAGTTGGGGACAGATGTCAGTTTCTAAGAGTAGTAAAGACATTTAGAGCATTGGCTAGACAGAATGTAGAGGGCGCTTGTTAGATAATAACATGGCTACTTTGGTCCAGTGGTTAAAGCACCAGGCTAGAAACAAGGAGACTGTAAGTTCTAGTCCTGCCTTAGATATGAAAGCTGGGTGAATTTGGGCAATCTCTTTTTTTTTTAGCCATGATCTCAGGTTGAATAAGCTGGTTGGTTAATAACTTGCAACCAAGTTATTAGAAAAAAGAAAAGAAAATAGTGCACTTGTGGGGAAAATGCTAGGAAAAAAATTCACTAATGAAGAAACACCATCATTCATGCCACATTGAGACTCAAAAGCAACTAAAATGTCCAACTATTCTAACTGCTCTTTCTGACACCTTTTTGCAAAGCCCAGCAATCTGGATCTCTGCTATGAAATACACCTTTTCATTGGAAGCCAGGCAGGTACTGAATATTTTTTGACACCTTTGTACCATTTTATGTCACTTGGGAGGTTCATAGAAATGCTGTTGTTGACTATAAATGTTAGCCCCCCCCCCAATTATAAGCATGGCAATCTTTATTTTTATAAACACCAAGCAGATATACCTTCTCTACATCCTGTTACTTTTTAAAGGCATCAAGAAAGGGGGAGGGGGGGGAGGAAAGAAAGTGAATTCGTAGTGAACACATTTTTGTTTTTGCACCGATGTGCTTCTGGGTTGAATAAAATCTAGAAAAAATATTATTTTCAAACAATTTACATGGGAGAGATATACAAATTAATCTTCTCTACCAATAGGAAAACTCTCCTTCACATGTACCTCTGGTGTTTTCCTTAAAAAAACCAACAGAATAAGAGAGTTGGAAGGGACCAGATGATTAGAGGTGTCCTAGTCCATGCCCCTGCTCAAACAGGAAAGCGTATGCCATTTCAGACAAATGGTTGTCCAATCTCTCCTTAAAAACTTCCTGTGTTAGAGCACCCACAACTGTTGGAGGCAAGTTGTTCCAACTGACTGTCAGGAAATTTCTCCTTAGTTCTAATGTTGGTTCTCTTCTTGATTAATTTCCATCCATAGCTTCCGTTCCTGCCTTTAGGCGCTTTGGAGAATAGGTTGACCCCCTCTTCTTTGTGGCAGCCCCTCAGATATTGGAATTCCTTACTAACGCCAATATTTTTAAAATATTATATTATACCAGTAAAATCATACAAATACAGAATAAATACATTAAAATGTGCAGAAAAATAAAGAAAACATCCCTCTTTTTCCCCAGAAAGTATAAACAACACTAAGAACTTAGCACTATCTCTTAAAATAAAACCAAACACCACTTAATTCAATATCTCATCCCATTTCTATAAACTCATCTCTACAATTTTATTTCTTCCTATTAAATAGCAAAATCTTTAAGTAATGTCCAAAATACTAAATAACAATCACTTCAGAAAATCTTGCCCTGAGACGTGTGAGTGTGTGTGTGTGTATCTATCGCAAGATGGGTGGCAAACAAATTTAATAAATATATAAACAAGACTTAAATACTGTTAATTATTTAAAAAGTAGAATGAAATGTATTTTTGGTTACTGATATTATAATCTATCTTTAGATTCTTAAGTATCTTTAGCCAAGTTGCATAGGAAATACCGCAGATACTTTTTTGACAAGCTATCTCTAAATGTTCTTATGTAGGCTGACAACACAGAAATATTGATTTTGATCCACACTTGTTTTATGCAATAATATAGAATTTATGTTCAAAAATAAAATAAATAGTTACATTATGTAGAATGAAGGAGTAGAACAGTCATTATTTTGTTCTTCTAAAATAATCACACTAAATTCAACATGAATACTCCGGATTCTGAAATTCTATCTCAGCAACTTTTTTACATTCAAGAAATTTTAAACAAACTATTAAGCAACTTAATTAAATTAAACAATAAGGAACGCAGTGGCTCAGTGGCTAAGACGCTGAGCTTGTTGATCAGAAGGTCGGCAGTTCAGTGGTTCAAATCCCTAGTGCTGCGTAAGGGAGTGAGCTCCCGTTACTTGTTCCAGCTTCTGCCAACCTAGCAGTTCGAAAGCACGTAAAAAATGCAAGTAGAAAAATAGGGATCACTTTGGTGGGACAGTAACAGTGCTCCTTCGGCGTTTAGTCATGCCGGCCACATGAGCACGAAGATGTCTTCGGACAGCGCTGGCTCTTTTAGAAACGGAAATGAGCACCATCCCTAGAGCCAGAAACGACTAGCACACATGTGAGGGGGAATTTTTATCTTCACTAAACAACTACTTCTTTGGAAGCTGTTGTTATATACACCACAATATTCAAATGCTAGTAAATACATCAAATATATCTTCAGATTCTTAGTGCTTTGTTAAGATTATTTTTAAAAAGAAGTTCTCAGCTGAACTATGTCTTGCAGTGACTATATCCTTTCTTATGAAACTCATTACATAATAACATGAAGGATTTAGTAAAGGCTAGAGATTTTTTTAGTTTTCTATGTTTTCCCTCTTCCTTGTTCTATTTTTTTAGACTGAATGAAATTGGTTGCAAAATGTTAACTGCTTGATTGCTTTAGAAGAATAATGTATAAACCAAAAAGCAAACCCAAAAGGACTTTTTCTGCCACCAGCTAAGACAAAACAGGCTTCAATGGAGCAGGAAAAGTTTCTGAGCTATCTAGAACATCATATAGGTAAAGCTGGACCATCTTTCTTAACAAATTAGAATGAGTACATCAGTAGTTTCTTCAATATCTCAGAGAAATTTGACAATCTTCCAAAAATGGAGATACATCCATCAATTTCCAGCACTTTTAAATATGCTATATTAATGACAATTTTTACACAATTAGCTTGAAGCTTGGCACAATTGTAGATTTTGTTTATATATAAATCATAGATGACAACTTACAGTTCAAGAATAGTAATTTTTATAAGCAACATCCTGTTTTAAGTGGTACATCTTTTAAAAAAAATACTTTGCCTCTAGAAGAACTCTTAAAATACCTGCTTAAAATGCTGTGCATCTTTTGTTAATTGCCTTTTCAATAGAACTGAAACAGCCTGCAGAGGGCAGAGAACACTGCATGCACTATAACAAATGACATAATCTGTGGGCAAATGATTCTAATCATTCAGTATTCCAAACAGTTCACATGGAGTGGCAAGGTTAACAGAGGCCTTAAAGGGATTTTGCTTTCCAACAACCACTTAAAAATCAATCTGTTTTAGTTGAAACTGAATACTTTCAAAAGTATTCTGATTTTAAAGCTATTTAAGCAATGAACATACTTTGCACCAAAATGATTACTGTGTTCAGCTTGTCTTAAAAGGGCTTGAGCCGAGGTGGCGCAGTGGTTAAATGCAGCATTGCAGGCTACTTCAGCTGACTGCAGTTCTGCAG